AAGTGATTACCGCCGCCATTGAACAGCGTGCGGCTCACCAGATAATAAGTGATTACCGCCGCCATTGAACAGCGTGCGGCTCACCAGATAATAAGTGATTACCGCCGCCGTTGAACAACGTGCGGCTCACCAGATAATAAGTGATTACCGCCGCCATTGAACAGCATGCGGCTCACCAGATAATAAGTGATTACCGCCGCCATTGAACAGCATGCGGCTCACCAGATAATAAGTGATTACCGTCGCCATTGAACAGAATGCGGCTCACCAGATAATAAGTGATTACCGTCGCCATTGAACAGCGTGCGGCTCACCAGATAATAAGTGATTACCGTCGCAATTGAACAGCGTGCGGCTCACCAGATAATAGGTGATTACCGTTGCCATTGAACAGAATGCGGCTCACCAGATAATAAGTGATTACCGTCGCCATTGAACAGCGTGCGGCTCACCAGATAATAAGTGATTACCGTCGCCATTGAACAGCGTGCGGCTCACCAGATAATAAGTGATTACCGTCGCCATTGAACAGCGTGCGGCTCACCAGATAATAAGTGATTACCGTCGCTATTGAACAGAATGCGGCTCACCAGATAATAAGTGATTACCGTCACCATTGAACAGCGTGCGGCTCACCAGATAATAAGTGATTACCGTCGCCATTGAACAGAATGCGGCTCACCAGATAATAAGTGATTACCGTCGCCATTGAACAGCGTGCGGCTCACCAGATAATAAGTGATTACCGTCGCAATTGAACAGCGTGCGGCTCACCAGATAATAAGTGATTACCGTCGCCATTGAACAGAATGCGGCTCACCAGATAATAAGTGATTACCGTCGCCATTGAACAGCGTGCGGCTCACCAGATAATAAGTGATTACCGTCGCCATTGAACAGCGTGCGGCTCACCAGATAATAAGTGATTACCGTCGCCATTGAACAGCGTGCGGCTCACCAGATAATAAGTGATTACCGTCGCCATTGAACAGAATGCGGCTCACCAGATAATAAGTGATTACCGTCGCCATTGAACAGCGTGCGGCTCACCAGATAATAAGTGATTATCGTCGCCATTGAACAGAATGCGGCTCACCAGATAATAAGTGATTACCGTCGCCATTGAACAGCGTGCGGCTCACCAGATAATAAGTGATTACCGTCGCCATTGAACAGAATGCGGCTCACCAGATAATAAGTGATTACCGTCGCCATTGAACAGAATGCGGCTCACCAGATAATAAGTGATTACCGTGGCCATTGAACAGAATGCGGCTCACCAGATAATAAGTGATTACCGTCGCCATTGAACAGAATGCGGCTCACCAGATAATAAGTGATTACCGTCGCCATTGAACAGCGTGCGGCTCACCAGATAATAAGTGATTACCGTCGCCATTGAACAGCGTGCGCCTCACCAGATAATAAGTGATTACCGTCGCCATTGAACAGAATGCGGCTCACCAGATAATAAGTGATTACCGTCGCCATTGAACAGAATGCGGCTCACCAGATAATAAGTGATTACCGTCGCCATTGAACAGCGCGCGGCTCACCAGATAATAAGTGATTACCGTCGCCATTGAACAGAATGCGGCTCACCAGATAATAAGTGATTACCGTCGCCATTGAACAGCGTGCGGCTCACCAGATAATAAGTGATTACCGTCGCCATTGAACAGCGTGCGGCTCACCAGATAATAAGTGATTACCGTCGCCATTGAACAGCGTGCGGCTCACCAGATAATAAGTGATTACCGTCGCCATTGAACAGAATGCGGCTCACCAGATAATAAGTGATTACCGTCGCCATTGAACAGCGTGCGGCTCACCAGATAGTAAGTGATTACCGTCGCCATTGAACAGCGTGCGGCTCACCAGATAATAAGTGATTACCGTCGCCATTGAACAGCGTGCGACTCACCAGATAATAAGTGATTACCGTCGCCATTGAACAGCGTGCGGCTCACCAGATAATAAGTGATTACCGTCGCCATTGAACAGAATGCGGCTCACCAGATAATAAGTGATTACCGTCGCCATTGAACAGCGTGCGGCTCACCAGATAATAAGTGATTACCGTTGCCATTGAACAGCGTGCGGCTCACCAGATAATAAGTGATTACCGTCGCCATTGAACAGCGTGCGGCTCACCAGATAATAAGTGATTACCGTCGCAATTGAACAGCGTGCGGCTCACCAGATAATAGGTGATTACCGTAGCCATTGAACAGAATGCGGCTCACCAGATAATAAGTGATTACCGTCGCCATTGAACAGCGTGCGGCTCACCAGATAATAAGTGATTACCGTCGCCATTGAACAGCGTGCGGCTCACCAGATAATAAGTGATTACCGTCGCCATTGAACAGCGTGCGGCTCACCAGATAATAAGTGATTACCGTCGCTATTGAACAGAATGCGGCTCACCAGATAATAAGTGATTACCGTCGCCATTGAACAGCATGCGGCTCACCAGATAATAAGTGATTACCGACGCCATTGAACAGAATGCGGATCACCAGATAATAAGTGATTACCGTCGCCATTGAACAGAATGCGGCTCACCAGATAATAAGTGATTACCGTCGCCATTGAACAGCGTGCGGCTCAACAGATAATAAGTGATTACCGTCGCCATTGAACAGAATGCGGCTCACCAGATAATAAGTGATTACCGTCGCCATTGAACAGAATGCGGCTCACCAGATAATAAGTGATTACCGTGGCCATTGAACAGAATGCGGCTCACCAGATAATAAGTGATTACCGTCGCCATTGAACAGCGTGCGGCTCACCAGATAATAAGTGATTACCGTCGCCATTGAACAGAATGCGGCTCACCAGATAATAAGTGATTACCGTCGCCATTGAACAGAATGCGGCTCACCAGATAATAAGTGATTACCGTCGCCATTGAACAGAATGCGGCTCACCAGATAATAAGTGATTACCGTCGCCATTGAACAGCGTGCGGCTCAACAGATAATAAGTGATTACCGTCGCCATTGAACAGCGTGCGGCTCACCAGATAATAAGTGATTACCGTCGCCATTGAACAGCGTGCGGCTCACCAGATAATAAGTGATTACCGTCGCCATTGAACAGCGTGCGGCTCACCAGATAATAAGTGATTACCGTCGCCATTGAACAGCGTGCGGCTCACCAGATAATAAGTGAATACCGTCGCCATTGAACAGAATGCGGCTCACCAGATAATAAGTGATTACCGTCGCCATTGAACAGCATGCGGCTCACCAGATAATAAGTGATTACCGTCGCCATTGAACATCTGTTACACCAGTGAATGAGGTAGTTCCATTATCGGCCTTTTAAAAAGGAGTAGGCTCTCTTTTTGAAGGTTCCTAAGTAATATCGATTCGGAAAATCCTCAAGGTGGTCATGCTGTGAAGGAAATTCCCAGAAAAAACTATCTAATTGTTAAATTACCGTTCCTGTTACCGTAACAGCATATCAAAGTCTATTACTGAACCAGAGTTGCCAAGATTGGCAAAGAGAGGTGTAAGAGGCGCCAGGGGAACAAATTAGGAGATGGGCAGCAGCATCTTCCTTATTACGACATGGTAATTAATCGCAAACAATTAAATTAATAAGTCGAAGGTCGATATAGTCAAAAGTCATTAAGGTAGATCAAAGTTGTCAATCACATCGCAGTCTACATTGAATGACTTCGCGGTTACGAGAATGCTTTTCGAAACATCTGTTCGATTTTAATTGGATAAGATATAACTATAAACTTTTAAATATAACAGTCATTGCTATGTTGCAATAGCAATGACAGTTATATTTAAAAGTTTATATTTTCAGAATATTTAATTTATAATTGCATAATAATTTAAATGTATAGTAACCCATAATGGTTATGATTTTTTCTAGGATAACGGTGACAAACGAGCACACAGTCTACCTCATGGTAAGTGGATGCTGTGTCCCATAGACATATTATACATTTATCCTCGATTAAGAATCAAAAGCAGATGTTTTGTTACCCGCGAGGACTAATAGAATGCTTCGTTTCCAGTAATTAAGGCCTCCGGATCTCTACACACACCATACGAAACACAGCAGTATTAAGCTCACTACGTCAACGCTAAACGGACTTCAAAAATAAAAATTCGAGAGTTCGAATCCGCCATTGGACTGTCGTCGTGGTTAAACATTTAGCTTAAGTGAGTATTAGTAGGGTTCTAGTACTGCTACTTGTCTTTTTATAGCTTCTTAAATATAAGCTTGACTCATCATCATCATCATTACAGCACCTCACAAGACCACTGTTGAACAAAGGCCTCCCCAAGGTGCGTCATATAACGCGTTCCTGGGCTACCTGCATCCATCGACTTCCTACAATTTATGCTGCAACTGTTTTACAATTCATTACGTTGTGGGTGCTTTTCAGCACCCATGGTCGTTCCTTCACTTTATTCTCGATTATGAATCAAAATGCAGACACTGTCGCCCCCGAGGTCAAGGATGGATTACCTGGTCGCCAGTAAAAAGGGTTTTTAGTTTTACAATAAAAAAATAAACGCGATAAAATCTATAAAATTTGTTGTATTTCATGTGTAGTATTTGAATTATAATAAAAAATCAATAAGTTACGCGTGTCTATAAATAATTTGTCTCTGATATTTATTACAGTAACAAATAAAGGTATATAAGAGGGTCAGTCAATTAAAGAGGTCAAAAGTCATTTCAAACACTTACGTCTGTACCATAAACACTCAATCACTCGAACGACCTTATCCTATTTTCATGAAAAAAAAATTACTTTCAACCGTTCGCGCATCAGTCTATAATACACTTGTGCCTGTGTGCTTTTTTCTTCAAAACTTTACATAATCGACTAATGTGAAGGCTTTCTTTGGCGGGGAGGCTGCACAAGTGAAGCCTTAGCCTCAGTTGTGAGAGAAGCGCGCTCGCCCGCGCCTGTGGTTTGTGGTTACTTTTTTTATTCAAATCCTGTGCTGTGTTCGGATACAATGAGGCTAATCTTTTGGGTGAGTTGACGTTTTGTCTTTTTTTTGTAGTTCGGTGCTCTAACGTGTACTAAAAAAAACGCCGCGACTAAGGCGCGTTGCGGACAAGTCGACTTTCTTTAGTGAAAGTCGAATGATTCAATTCGTTCGATGAGGGCTTTATTTTAACGATACATGCTAACATGTTATTTGAGAAAATTTTATTGATTTTATTTAATTGTATTGAACAAAACGTTAGTTGTATCAGTGATCGGGTACGGTTTGCGGCACTTAGTTACTGGCTTCGAATCCGCTATTCGAGAATTGTCGTACACCATCCTTAGTACAAGCATTTATAGGCTAAGCTGAAGGAATCAGCAGGTATATTGTGATTATTAACATTGTTTCTATTCTTTAAATATTGAAATAAAAAAATGCAAGTTGTATATTTATAACTTATATTAGTTAGGAGATTATTATAAAAAGTAGTGCCTTAAACTCAATCACATTTAGATAAAAATATTTCTTGCAAAGCTTATCAAAATTATTTAAAAAAACAGTATAAATATGGCGACATATATCTCTAATTAGAATGATAAAAAACTCATTATTAATTATTAAAAATATAATAGATTTATTAATATTAAAAAGTAATTTATAGAAATAGGTTTGTTTTATTTTGTAAAATGAGTAACAAGAAAATTAATTGTTTAACTTAAAAAAATGGTTTTCTACTTTTGACCGGTAATATTACTTTAATAAAAACTTGCATGCTGGTGATAAATAACCGATAAGCGTTATTCAACTTCGGTGTCCTTTGTGTTGCGTAAACACTTTAAAAAAATTTGAGGAAGTGTGTCAGACGGCGCGATGTGAAATTTGCGAGCGGAACTCGATTGAGTAAAAGACGTCCACTAGTGGCACGCTTCGTATTCGGTTTTCTCTTGTTTCATATCCGTAGTCAAGAGATAAACAATTTTTCAATCAATAAAGTTCAGATATAAGCTTTTACAACAATTATAAATATAAATATTTATTCGCCAATGTTAATTCTTGTTAAAGCTACGTCTACATTTATTATTTTTTGTCATAATATTTTTCATGTAACTTTTAAATTAATCCTTAAAAAAATTACATCACTACCATCTTCTCCTAGTTGGCTACAGCACCACTTATCAGGAATAGCAGTCGAGCACTGGCTTATAAGAAAAAATAAAGTTTTATCGTGGTATTATAAATATTACCAGAGAGTGAAATATATATTTTTGATTTTTTTAAAAGACCGTTATCTCAGCACTAAGATTTACTCCCGTATCTCAGATACAGTTTTGCATACATAAATTGCGCAAGGCCAAACTTCCAGACTCGGAATAATTATTTGAGGCTATACAAGTTGTATTGTTGCCTGTTCCGTGCGGAATTCGAACCTGCGCCCCTCCGCTCCGTAACTTAATGCTAATCCACTGCATTATAAAGCTGTCACATAATATTCGAAATGTAAGTGGGATATTAAGAACTTTATAATTAATTTCCAGCCTCACGACACGATTTTATAAAGAGAGCGACATCACCAGAGCGAAGTTATGAGATATCGCTGCCAGAAGCTGAAGGAAGAAAGATCAAACAAGAGAAACTGATGGCTGGCTATATATTTTTTAAAAAGCCTGTGCCCTTCAGTTAGCTAATAAAAAATGTAATAATAACCGTAGTATATGACTCTACCACAACATAATATAGTTTTTAACGTGGTAGAACCGTGCTGCAGCTATATTATAGTTGTAGAACAGATGGCTCGGCTCGACCGGGGAGAGAGCATGGCTCTCACAGAATACAAGCGTAAATTAGCAGCTTGATTCTGTTGTATTTCGCGTGGTTAGTGTAAAGAACCTGATACCCTTTCTATTGGATGCGAGGCATTACATCTTAATCCTCAGGGATGACAACGTATCTGTATATTGATTCCTAATCGAGGATAAATGTAGATGTCTATAGTCTACAGCCTCCACTTACTCGTGTAACTGTGCTCGTTTATCACCCTTATTCTATAAAAAAGAAGTAATTTTTAAAACCCCGTCACCTAGGACGTTTTAAGATACAGGTGTGGCCGTAGAAGGAAAATCATACATCTTATTACATTTAGTAAAGTACATAAAAATGCAACTAAATTGAGAATATTGTCTTTCTAAAGTCGTCGTCTTAATTATTTTTGCTACCAATTGTAGTATAACTACTGTTGTGCTCCTTGAGTTTGAAGGGCACGTAGTACCAGAATAATTATAGGAAACGAGCCATTCTGTCTTAGACGTGACGATGCACCTGTTGTCTTTCTTAGGTGCTTACAATAAATAGATTAAACTGATATAAAAAGTTGGTTAATAATAATAATTAGACTGAAAACGAGTGGTAAAAAAATGTACAACCGACTTCAATATAAATAGAATGAAAACATCATCAATGTAGTCGAAATCAATTAAATACGCATTATTAAGGATAACTCAAAAAACACTGGTCATATCTTGAAAAAATTTATAAGGGATCACGAGAAAAGCATCAGCTTCGAACGCAAAAGAATCGTAAATATCGGTTCACCTAGAAAAATGTTTTGACGTAAGACATGTCAAAAAATATACAGTTGAATTGAGTACCTCATCCTCTTTTTAAATTGATTGAAAATAAAAGCCGACCCAAAAAATTGGGGTATCCCTAGTAGTCTACTAGAAAGACTCCAAAAAGAACCAAAGAGAAGAAAATAATTTCCACTAATTCCGCTTAAACCGCTTTTTAAGATGTTTGAAAAATAAAGAGAGTACTCATTTAGATTTGCACAATCTTAAAACAGTACACGGATATAAACATCTAACTCGACGTCATACGGTGTTGTTGATCGCTGACGAAAAAATATAACAAGTTCTTCCGGCTCTTATATCTTTATGTAACAGACAGACAGACGAAAATGTAAATTTAATGTTGCCGTTTACATAAATAATAAATAGTAGGTTTCTATACAGCAGTGTTGTAACTAGTTTCTCGGAAGCAAATGCACGTAATCAGTGCGAGTTGAAGATGTACCGAACGCGATAAAATATTTAGTACATTCACATCATCTATTGTGATGCAATTGAATTTTAAGTATTGTTAGGGATTGCATAGGCGAAGTGATGAATTGCCAGATTATTACTGTGATGATATCTACCCTTTAAAAACAATCGCACTTTATTACCTGCGTAAGAGTATAGTGCCACATCTTTACCCTGAACGTAATTCCACTTTCCTTCCATAAGCCTCCATAACCTGTATCCATCGATTTCCTGAATGGTTTAGCAGGGCGTCACTCCATCTAGTGGGAGGCCGCCTTATACTTTCTTACGCATCGGTTGTCGGTTCATCGAGCTATATGTACAGTCATATATCAAAGGTGCTTAGAAATGGCTCTTTATAGTATCAAGATACGGACAGATAAAGTCCTATTTTACTCGGATCTATAGGCCATACCTATCTAAACAGACCCCTGTTTGGATAGGTAGCAACCCTCTTAGTATTTCTATCAATTATTAATGAATTATTTGCCCCATCTTATTTCATCGTTGACCGTTTTGTGGAGATGTAAGAATATCCTCTACCACATATCGTTCCGCGGGTGTCGTAAGAGGCGACTGAAGGATACGAACCTAGGGCAGCAGTGTCTTACTTATAACAACCAAAAAATAAAAAATCTGCAGTTGCGGTGCGTCTGCCAAGCGTGGCAACTATGGTAATATCCCCCTTATGAGCAATCTAAGGGGAGGCATGTTCCGTGCATGACTATGGTAGGCTGTAATGATGATGACAATGATGAGTATTTTATCTTTTATTATAGGTTATAACCATGCTATTATTTAAAAAAATGCTATCACACTATTGAAGTCGTTATTGTGATATCCGAATAGAAACAGTCACTTCATCGTCTTCATCGGCCCGTACAATACCATTGCTGGACTTGGGCCTTTCCTGTAGTAAAGACGTGGTAGAGCCACACTGCAGGTATATTATAAATGTAGCACGAATGTCGGCTCGACCGGGGAAGGACCATTCGTATGGTGAATGTAGAGAACTGGAGACCCTAATCACTGGGAACGAGGTATTCCATCTTAGTCCTCACGGGTGACGCATCTGCATTTTGATTCGTAATCGGGGGTAGATGTAGATGTCCATGGGCTATCCTATAAAAATTATTTTAACTTTTAACGATGCATAAAAACCGACTTCAATTTGCTAAAAACTAATTGTTGATTTGCAAAACTTTTTACAAATTTATTTGGAAAATAAATTAATGAAAAAGAAGTTTTACCTATTTAAGAAACAAAGAATTATGAAAATGGGTTATTTATCTGTGATGGTATCATATGAAATTCCTTAAACAATAGTGCAATACGAAACATTTCCCCTATTTTCAAGTCTTGGGGTAGAATTTTTTCTACAAAATTTAATGGAACTAACCATGAGGTAAAGCCTATTTATACAGGTTTACAATCTGCGAAGATGTCGCGTAACATACATAAAATTCAAAAAATAAAAAGAATCACATGAATTGAGAACTTCCTCCTTTTTGAAGTCGGTTAAAAAATAGGATTTGCCATAATCATTACTCCGTTTCTCTGTCGCACCTTAGACGCTACTATCCGTCGCCGGTCTTCGTATTTCTGATCTGGCGTAAACGAGATGGTAATATTTTGAATCACCAAAAGGTGCGTTAAAAGGTGCGCGCTGCTTTTCGTCGCGTCGCATAACGTCTTGGTGTGAACTGACCCTTAGGCTAGCCACTTTTACTGTATAATGTAGAAGTCAAATGCATGATGTGATATATAATTTCCACGTCAATTGTTTTATAAGGGAAAAATGGCAATGGTATGAAGTTTCTTTTTCGTAAAGCCAAAGGTACAATTTTGAAATATTAAAATAAATAAACTTGTTTCTTATATCTGTAAAGCATTTCATTCATCGTTGCTGGCATGTGTCCATGGGCTATAGTGCCACTTACCATCAGGTGGACTGTTAGCTAGTTT